TGGGCATCCTTTTCCTAACCAGGTTGTGCTGGAGCTTATTGAGCTGAGAGAGCTCGGTGCTGCTCGTTCACTCCTCAGACAGACCGATCCCATGATCATGCTCAAACAGACGCAGCCAGAGAGATACATCCACCTGGAGAACCTGTTGGCTCGCTCCTACTTCGATCCCAGAGAGGTGAGTCCAACATGTGCAGCAGATGGAGCATTGTTTTATCGTTACAGTATTAGTTTAGTGTCCTAATTAAATCCTATTTACCGATCTGGGGGAGATTGTAGTTTTCCAAGTCGGGTCAAGTCTCTGCTTCTGGATTGCAGTTCAGTAAAATCATTGAACATCCTATTTTATCAGCATTTTCTGCTGATATTGATTGTGGTATATATTAATTATATTAATTATTTATTGCCCAGCCCTAGTTTGTTACATGTGTTTTTAAAAGCTTTTATATCTGCACTTTAAAAATTGACTGAAGAACTAATGCACAATGTGAAATTTTGCAGCGTTTTTCCTTTATAACTTACTTGGATGTGTTTCTTTACAGGCTTACCCAGATGGCAGCAGTAAAGAGAAGCGGCGTGCAGCCATCGCTCAGGCCCTGGCAGGAGAGGTCAGCGTGGTGCCGCCCTCCCGTCTCATGGCTCTGCTGGGACAGGTCAGTAACCTTAAAACCTTTAAACTTGCATTATGTAGACAAGTTGCTGACATTTCGCAACTCTTAAATTTCCTTCTTCAGTCTCTGAAGTGGCAGCAGCATCAAGGTCTCCTGCCACCTGGTATGACCATTGACTTGTTCAGAGGTAAAGCGGCTGTGAAAGACGTGGAGGAGGAGCGCTTCCCCACTCAGTTGAGCAGGCACATAAAGGTACCCACATTGTCAGAAATATGACCTGCAGAGGGGGTTATTTTGGCCACTCTAATCAAAGTTGTTTATTTAGCCAAGCTGGGTTACAAGTCATTTTCTCTCTCTGCAGTTTGGACAGAAATCTCATGTGGAGTGTTCTAGATTCTCCCCTGATGGTCAGTACCTGGTCACTGGGTCTGTGGACGGATTCATTGAAGTGTGGAACTTCACCACTGGAAAAATCAGGAAGGTATAATACACTTAAAAAACACAAAATCTTATCGTTTTTGGTCTCGCTTCTAGTGCAAGTACTAGCTATGAGTGAACAAATCTGCAGTTTTACATCAATATTAAGGATTTCATTGCATAAAACAAGCTCCTATATCTTGCTGAAAAGTTACTTGTAGGTTAGTTTTGTCTTTCAAATGTACTAAGATATTTACCTTAGAAACTAGACAGAAAATACTTGATAAGAGGTTGTGCTTTTGCAGTGAGACTTAATTTGCCTGTTTTCCAGGATCTGAAATATCAGGCTCAAGATAACTTCATGATGATGGATGATGCTGTGCTGTGTATGTGCTTCAGTCGAGACACTGAGATGTTAGCAACTGGAGCCCAGGATGGAAAGATTAAGGTCACGTTTTGTTGCTGTTGTATTTTGATGTTTTAAAAACACAGTTTAACTCTTACTGTTTTCATTCAGCATTCTTATTTCATTTTCTATTGTTGTAAAATACGTTTATTTAGTAAAAAAAAAACATAAAATGATGGAGCAGTATTTGCTGTTTCTGTCTCGAGTCATCATTAAATACTTTTCATACTTGCATGCAGGTGTGGAAGATTCAGAGCGGTCAGTGTCTGAGGAGATTTGAGCGCGCCCACAGCAAAGGAGTAACTTGTGTGAGTTTCTGTAAAGACACCAGCCAGCTGCTCAGTGCCTCCTTCGATCAGACCATCAGGTAAACTCATCTAAACTAACTTCTCTCTTTCACTCCGAACACTTTTGTAAGTCTCAAGTGGCTTTATAGTCTTTGCTCAACACACATGCACAACTCTTTTCATTTTTTGTTTTTTTGTTTTGTTTTGCACAAGAATCCATGGACTGAAATCTGGTAAATCACTGAAGGAGTTCCGTGGTCATGCCTCGTTTGTCAACGAAGCTACATTTACCCCAGACGGCCATCACATCATCAGTGCTTCCTCAGATGGAACAGTCAAAGTAAGTTATTGAAAAAGTAAAGACTTTACAAACTAGAGAAAAGAAAAGAGAGTGATTTAAATTGTTTTTCCACATTCATATATTTATGGGGAGAATTCATTTACATGGAGATTTTCAGATCAGTTTTCTGCTCCATTAAGACACCTTTTTATCATGTTTTTTATTTAAAAGATTCTCATCCAAATATGTATATTCAACCATTCGGCTATACATTTGTTTGACACTCCAGCAATCTATTCGTTACTTTGCTCCTCCTTTTAGTTTTCCATCTACCTATTATTTTGTCTCCTTATCCATGTGTCTTTGCCTCCATTAGTTTTTTTATTTAGTCACCACAATTATTTTATTAATCTATACCTATAGTCAATCTTTTTTCCTTCAATAAATAGTACATGAAAGAGAACTTGAGTCTGAAAAGTACGGCAAATTTTCTCTTTAACTTATTGGGATCCTAACATGAATCATCTTGTCCAGTTGCAGCATACCGACTTCTTTCCTTGTGTTTTCTTTTCAGGTGTGGAACGTGAAGACTACAGAGTGCAGCAGCACTTTTAAGCCTCTTGGTACGTCAGCAGGCACAGACATCACCGTCAACAATGTCCTCCTGCTGCCCAAGAACCCTGAGCATTTCGTAGTGTGTAACCGCTCCAATACGGTGGTCATCATGAACATGCAGGGACAGGTAAGTTTTTCAAGTTTTAAATATATATTTTTAAGCTTTTAGATATTCTTTTTATATGAGCATCTTTGCTTTTCTCGTATGAACACAGATTGTGAGGAGTTTCAGCTCCGGTAAAAGGGAAGGCGGTGACTTTGTGTGCTGCACTCTGTCGCCCCGCGGCGAATGGATATACTGCGTAGGTGAAGACTTTGTGCTCTACTGCTTCAGCACCGTCACAGGCAAACTGGAGAGAACACTGACGGTACGATGCTGCACATAAACACAGATCAAAGAGTCCAAAAATATCACAGCACACCCCCTGCACCGTTTGTGGTGCAGCATCTGTCAGGCAAATCTCCACACAGGTACTGATGATGAGAATGTAAACCTGCAGGATGCAAACACAAACCTATTAACACTCAAAGTTGTATCTTAATAATTTTCTAAATTAAGCTTATTATTATTTATTGATTGCCTTTAATCACATTTCCCCACTTGCTTTGCTGCTTGACTTTTATATTTAAAAGTTAAATGTGGCAGAAACCCTAACATCCATGCTTTGTTTTCAAAATGTATATTTTCTTGAAACTATAATGCTTTGATTAGAACATTTTTTTTTTAAATAAATGTGCAGATATTTACTGTAGTGTCAACTTTTTATTTCTATCTACCACATTGATACTTTATTTTGTTTTGCAACACTGACTGAAAAGCAAGTTTTTCTCTCAAACAAGTTTCTTAAGTATATACGTATATTTATGAAGTTGTCTTGGCTCACCTGCTACTAGTCATAAAGTTATGCCTTTCCTTTGTGTCTTCATGTCTTTTCAAGTCTTGTGCCAATCCTGTTCTTCTATCCATTTATATCACCTGTATTATGGCCAACCTAGTTAACCCAACTGCTTTTAAAAAGAAAAAAAGATCAAATCCAGAAATTACTGCAGAATTTATTTATAACAAACTAGCTGTTTCTTCAGGGTGAAGCAAAGCCAAAATTATAAGGATTTTACCCAGTCATTGCTTCCAAAACTCTATTTACAAACAAAAGGAGACACTTTCCTCTGTCTAGGCCTGTCACAGTAACAAATTTTGCTGGATGATAAATTCTCAGTTATTATAGCGATGAACAGTAATGTTGTTTTAAATCTATTTTCCAGTAATATATTGACAATGGCTTAATAAATCAAGATCACCCACTTAAAGACCACTAAACTTTTTAATTTTGTAAACAACCTTTAACATTAGAACTGCAAAATGAGAAAGATTTTCTAGGAAGAAGAGTGCACACTCTGATCTGAAAAGAAACCAACCACAGTCTGTTCTTTGACGTCTGTAGTTTCTGCAGCTTCTGTTTGACCACTGCTAAGTTGAAATGAAAACTGAGTCGGAACCCAACTTTACCTTTAGCACAACAGTGAAGTTCTGCTCCAGGTGACTGGTTCTGCTGCTTTCTTCTTCAGGTTCACGAGAAAGATGTGATTGGCATCGCCCATCACCCCCACCAGAACCTGATCGCCACTTACAGCGAGGATGGCTTGCTGAAACTCTGGAGACCCTGAAGCATCCTCAGAAGAGGAACCTGGACATTCTCTCTTTTTGTCCATCCTTTTTGCTTGTTTTTTTCACTCTGGTGAATCCTTCCCAGGGTCAAATGGACTTTGATGTACAGGAGAACCATCAGCCTTTTACACTCAGAATAACAAAAAGTAGTTCATTTAAAGAAAAAAAGTGTACAGTTTTTTTTTTTTTTTTAAGTTTTTGTATCATTAAAATTGAGCAGCTTATGGCATTTTAATGAAGCCTCTGAGACTAAAGTTCTTTATTAGACAGAGAAATGTTATAGCTTCAGTTTTTTGTCACAGATGTTTTGTAACAGCTGAACAGAAACTCCTCATCTTAAAATAAGGTTTTGATCCCTTAAATTTTTCCATTTGTTCAAAACAGAACTCCAAAGATGACAGTAAGACTTGCTGAGTGGAGAGAATTGTGAATGTTTTCATATGAATTTAGGAAATTTCTGGAAAATCATTTGAAAACTTGAAGATTTACTGGAAGTATAAATGCCATGTAACATTTTTCTGTCTGCCATTAAAGCCCTCTGAGCTGAACAGAGCAATCTGAATAATTTTGGTGTAATAATCAAACAACAGACCTGGAAGAGTGTTGTAAGGTATTTAACAAATTTTGTTTTTATTTTTTAAGCTTTGAGTTGTTGAAACATGTCTCAACTTTCTGAGCCAGTCCTTGTAGGGGGAAAAAAAGGACCCTACATTCAGCCATTTTTCATGAAGGAGGGGCCTGCTGGAATTTAAACCCAAAACAAACTGGTCCACTGATTCTTAAAGCAGCTGCTCTGCAGAGAAAAGTGTCAGGCTTTTCAGCAGAAGCTTCAAAATAAAAGCCTGTGTTGCATGAACACCTATTCTTCCAAATGTAATCTTTTAAGGTCAGCTTGATCATAACTAAAATTTAAACATTAATGATTTGTGTTTATGAATGTATCTTTTTTTGGTGAACAGGGGATGATTGTTTCCATGATTGTTTACAGCTCAGGCAATTTCCAGTAAACTTAATAACGTCCTGCTGGTGCACTACAAATGTCACGGCCAAATGTTAGCAAGTAGGTAATATGTCAAACTTCAACAGAATCCACATCTCCAGGAAGCAATTGTTTCTCATTGAGAGCTGATAATACCTTTAACAAAACTTACTTTAAATTCCAAGTTTGTGATGTTTTCTGGCCACTGAAGTTTGAGCCATTTTTTCTCGTCATTTTTACATCATGTAGACTTATCCCTTTCACTAAAGGGAATTGGTAGCATAACTTATTTTATTATGTTAGTTGGCATGCTGGCAAAATGTTGGCTAATGTTAAAACAGCAGATAAATGCGGGTAACCACAGCAAACAGTGACAGTTTAAAGGCCTGTGTTGCTTTCTGCAATCCAGTTGCATCGGTTGTGTTAAAAAGCGCAGAGAATGTGGCTGGCTTTTAGCCAGTCTGGGCTTCGCTTTCTGATAATACTTTTTTTCTCCCAAAAAAAGTAAAAATTTTTACATTTTATTTCAGTTTTTTAGAATGGGAGAAAATAAAGTTTGTCACATTGCTTTATTTCCCTTGACAGCAATTTTATTACCACTAATATCCCTCTCATGAGGATTTCTCTGGCTTGTGTGTAAAAGGAAACAGTTTCCACTGGGAGCAGCTTGACAGAAAGGCAGAGCTCCAGGTCAGGGAGGTTGAATGAGTCTTCAGTCTGTGAGGGGTTTCCATTGGAAAGGCTTACTATGGCAGCATTTCTTCCCATCTCACTGCTTTTATTTTCAGCTTGTGGATTCTTTGTCTTTGTTTGTGGCCACTTGACAAATTTCACATTACCAGTCAACCCAAGTGTGGTTTCAGGTGTATATGTTGCCACAAATAGTCCTTTTTCTGCAGGGACTTCTAATGCATCAGCGGTTCCCACCACAGAATTCACAACCAGTTACAGAAAGTCAACAGCTGAAACCACTACAGAGCGCCCAACTGGGAAGGAAGGTCAGAAACCAGTGAGGAAAATTCTGAAAACGGAACAAGAAGCAGATGAAGGTCCTATGAAATTGGGTGAGGTCTGATCACACAATTTTATCTGAGGAAACTTTTTTTATTGCACTTGAATCACTCTTCAAATTTAAAGTGACTGCTAATGTCCATGTGTTTATTATTTTTGCAAAATGTCTATATTAAATATGTATGTGTTGTATACCACCGTGGTAATAAATGTTATTGTTAAGAAAATGCATGACAGTAACTAAAGTTTAGCATGCTTTTAATCTTAAACTTGGATGCAACAATCTTAGAACTGAACAAATTCAAGAAAAAAATCCATAATAAAAACTAGTCACTGATTAGCCTTGATTTGTACTTAAAGAGTAAGTATCTGCAAAGGAGTATGAAAAGCAGGTCTTTTTTGCATTTCTGTAATCAGTGTCTGAGTGTTGGAGGTAGGAAACCCAGATGGTATTTGTAATGACTGAGTCTTAAGTAAACAGAGAAAATTTGCTCTTTTTCTCCCAGTCTTTGGGGTCTGACATGTAAATGAAAGAAAACTAGTGCCTGCTGAACAGTTTCTCTTTTGATTTGGTCAAATATTTTCCAAAAGCAAATGACCCATTTTCAGACTGAGCACACCATATTTTCATATAAACTTTTAGTTTGAATAAAAAGCCTTTGTAGGAGAAATTGGCCCACAGCATCACAGATCATCAGCCATGCTTAATGGTGGGCAGCTGCTTATGTTTATCCTTCAAAAATCTTTATCTTAGTCTCATTTCATGTGTATCCTTTCGAGGGTGTATGGTCTTGCACTGAAATCTAATAAAGTCTTGTTAAAAGGTGTTTTGCCTTTTTTATAGCAAAGAGATCCACAAGAAGCCTTATGGTAGCAAAGAAGCTCAAAAATGTCCTGAAGAAACCAAAAGTCATTCCTAAGAAGCCAAAGGTCACTAAAACACCAAAACCAGAGATCAAAAAGGTTACCAATCACCAGTCAGCCGCCACCAAAACTGCCTCACGTATGTATTTAGAAAGACTCTGAAATATACAGTATGACAATCAGACAAGGACCAAATTTTAATGCTGATTATGTTTTGCTGCTTTTCTGAAATGGGTTTTGCTTTGTTGTCAATTAAGATCAAGTCAAGGATACTTCATGTCATAAAACTGTGTATATCTTCTAAAAATCAAACTGACCTCATCTCAAAATTATCAGCAAATCCACACAGGAAAACAGGAAATGAGCTTTTTTTTCTGAAATGACTAATTTCTTTAAGAGCATATCATCATTTTCTGTCATTTCCAGCTATGTTCAGGCTTATATCTTTGTGTGTTTATATTCTGCTTCATTCAATTCATCATTCAGATTGAGGAATGTATAAAAGCACGGAAGAAAAAATGGCAGCTGAGTATGCAGTGCTGCAGAAAACTGCTGAAAACCTGAGTCATGCATAAAAGAACAATCCCCCAAAACCAAAGTCATTAATATAAACAGAGAAAATTCCAGTCATTTTTCTGTTTCAGTTCGTAGCATGGAGATTTTAAATGGGGAAGGAAACAAAGAAAGTCAGGAGAGCTGTTGTTTGAGTGCAAAGGTTGGAGATTTATCTAACTGGCACCCTGTGCAGAAAGCATGCTGAGTCCAGTCTCTTTGTAATTCACAAAGGACTCCATGTAGCACAAACTGTCTTGACTATGGACAATATAATTTCTGCCGACACTTCAATTTTTCTAAACCACTGTGTTGCCAGAATACTTTGCATGAGAAACATGGAGTTATTGTGCATAATTTGTCTTTCTCCACAGAATTAGTCTGTGCTTTACTAATGAAGGTTAAAATTACAGATCTGGAATATGGAAAAATGTCTCGTCAGGAGGCATCTGCAGTGAAACGTTTTTGCCTCCATTTGGCTCAGACACAGCGGAAAAAATAATGATGCAACAACTAATTATTGTTCAAGTAAAGAATTTATGATGTCAGTGAAAAAAAATTGACAATGTGATGTGATTTATTCGATTATTTCTGTAGATTAATTTGATCTGTTTCCCTTGTGAGATTTTTTGAGATGACATTTGAATTGGTGGTATCTAAAAAAAAATTAACTCAATTGAATGGATTAGACAATTCAGACAGTCGCCTTGCTGGTCTGACTGTCGACTCTGCTTTAGTTACTCCATCATCTGCCATGCATGGCGGCGCCAGGCATGGCAGAAGAGGGGCTTTTTATCAGAAAAGCAAATTTAACATTACTTATCTGCTTTAATGCTCAAAACGACTCTGAAATATGATGATATTTTCCCTTTACACAATAATAGTGACTTTCACTCTCACCCCAGAGCTGATATGAGACATACTGTATATTGTAAGCTGATCATATAATTGTTTAGACTAAACCTGCTGTGTTTAGTTTAACCAGTGTTATTCTGGCAGAAACATCAACTTAAAAGCTGATTATCAGAATAAAAACTTGGCACAAAGTAGATAAATCAGCTGAATGATGTTTCTCTCTTTCATGTGCCAGATTTTTGTGTTTTTTTGTTTCTAAAGTTGGCATCATTTTTTAGATGCACATGTTCTGATTTCCCTTTGTATTTTGTGTTAATAAATGAAAGAAAGATCTTTATGTGAAACTACGATGTGAGAAAGACAAAATGTTTTTCAGTTGTTTAGGAAGTTGAAAATGAATCATGCCTCTTGTTTTACTATAGAAAATGTTAGGGGAAAAGGGAAATACTTTTTCTTCCTTTATGGTATTCAAACCATTTTACTGTAAAAAAACAATATTGCTTTTTTATTTAGCATTTTTCTATATTTATCGAGTTAATCAGCTGCTTAAGCCGAGGATTCTTGTGTTTTCTGCCAAGTTTCTCCAGCTCAGCCTCAGTGGTTTCAGGAGATATTTGTGGTTTGGCTGGACACCAGAGGTCAGCAACACTAAACAGCCTTTTTTAGTCACAAGAAGCTGGAGAAATCCCTCAGGAGTACAGGGCAAAATGGAGACAGGGTTTAAAAGAGTCACTTCCACGATTTCAGCTCTAAAGTCTGACACTTTTTAGCAGCTTGGGGATCTTGCTGGCAGGAAGAGGCAATGTCTGAATACCGCAGACAATAGAACGTCTGTCTAAGTCTGAGGCTTCAGTGCAACAGAAAAAGATGCTGGGATGGCATGAAAATCAAGTCCGAGATTGTTCTACTTTCTTTTTCCCTCCCTAATCTGGAGTTCAGTAAATAAGCTCAACAGTTATATATTTTCATCAATATTAAGGAATTATAAACTTGTCAGTTTCTTGTCAGTTGTTTTATTTCAAGTGTACTGAAATCTTTGCAGTAGAAACTAAACAAATACTTGGTAATATGTTCCTGCAGTGTAGTCATACCTTACACAACTTTTAGAATAATTTTATTAAAGCCTTTACACATATCCAAACACTGCCTGTGCCAAATTAGATGCTAAGAAATCAAATGTAATTTTTAATAAAGATAAAGATCTGTTGACTGTCAGAATGTCCTCCTCTGGGTCTGGAGTCACTGAGGGTGAAAGACGCCCAGCTGAGGGCTTCATCCTACAAGCGACGAGGCCTGGGACCTCACCGCGGCCGACTCAACATCCAGGTACAAATCACATCTTCTACCTACAGATTCAACCCTGCTTCACATTTTACCGCTGTTGTTTTGCTGCAGTCTGGAATAGACGATGGGGATATTTATGATGGGGCCTGGTGCGCTCGGTACAAAGACAAAAACCAATGGCTGGAAGTTGATGCCCAGAGGGTAACCCGGTTTACTGGGGTCATCCTGCAGGGGCGCAACTCCATCTGGAGGTCAGTGCTGGTGCAAACAAAATGCTTGCGCTGACGTTTTTCCCAAATACATTTTTTTTTTTATCTTACTTGAGTAATTTCTTAGACAGCTACTTTTTTCTTTTACTTGGGTAAAAATATGTTGAAGTTGTGCTACTCTTACTTGAATACAATTTTTGAATACTCCATTTACTTGTGGCAATAAGAGAGTTTTTACTGTTGAACATTTAAAAACATAAAAAACAAAGCGTTTTATATTTTCATAAAATATATTTATGAAAAGGTTGGAAGAGGCAGTTTCTGCCTCTTTGCAAAGTTTCTGCATCTGTCACACATGCTCTTTAGTTTTTTCTCTTCTTTTCTCTACATATTTGTTTCACTTGCATGCAGTTGGGACATGGTCCAAACATACAAGGTTCAGTTCAGCAACGACACGCTGCTTTGGAAGCCCTGCATGAACGGGAGCAAAGAGGCTGTGAGTGAGCATTTCATTTTATGAAAACTGTTTTTCCATCTTCTGCATGTGCCTTTCGTATCACCAACACTCAGCACACCTCCTTCTGCTGCAGATATTTGAAGGAAACCAAGACACAGAAACTCCCGTCCTCTCCCTGTTCGACAGTCCCACAGTGGCACGTTACATTCGGATCAACCCTCAGACGTGGTATCAGAACGGGACAGAGGGAGACATCTGCCTCAGGGCAGAAGTGTTGGGATGCACACTTCCTGGTACGAGAAAAGAAACAGGAAGAAACATTTAATTTTTTATGTGTCTGTTTGGTTGTAAAGTTAAAGTATTCATTTATATTCAAAAGTACTGTCTCTTTAGCAATGTCAGCATCAAACATCAGTGCATTTCAAAATGATTTATGACTTTTACAAAAATTATTTTTCTGCATATGTTAATGTATCAGAATATTGTGTATTTTTTAGTCTGTATACACCAGGTAATAATTTATTGATAAATTAATAAGTTGATCATTATTTTAATAATTGATTAAAACCAATTGATCTTTTCAACCCTTATATTTTAACTTGTATTTACCGTGAGGTCACTTTCTAATTTTGCTGCCTCCAGCAGGTTTTTCTCCAGGATTATCCTGTATTTATCTCCACACATCTTTCCACCAACTTAGTCAAGCCTTTCTTTTTCCAATTTCAAATGAACTCTGTGAGATGTTCAAAACTCTAAATATTATTTACAAACTAAAAACTTGTTAAACATTTTTGCAGAAATTTGCCCCTTTTCCATCTACTAACCATACATTACAATAACTTTTACTTTATTTAAGAATTAAACGACTATTGATGAAATTTTCTAGACCTTATTTAAGCCGGTAAACTGTTTGTATGTTCTGGCCAATGTTTGTATTGAGTTTCATTTTTGGGCTGTTTGAGTAAAAGGGGAGGTTGACTTCATATAAAACCTCTAACACAATTTGGTAATTTCACAAAATCTAAAACGGCTGAAAAACATTAACTGCCTTCTTTCCTTTTCCACAGATCCTAGTAATGTATATGCATGGCAGACAGAACCAACAGAGTCCAGAGACAAACTGGACTTCAAGCACCACAACTATAAGGAGATGAGAAAGGTAGATGGAACACAAAAATCTGTCCACAAATTATATTTACAGTAAAAACATTGTTCAGTCAACTCCACTTTGCTGTCTGCTAATGTTCTCTCTTATTGTTTAGTAAGAAAAACTTGTGAATGTTTATAAAAGTAAGACCAAATGTCTGGCCTTTAACATTTTCACTTGAAGACCCTTTTCCTGGATCTGAAAATGGGAATAAATTGGATCCACATCTCCTTAATTATGACAAAACTCATGTAATCCCTTAATCCCACAAAAATTGACATGAAACAAATTGGGCCCAGCTGTTTGAAAGTGTTTTCTGGTAATTTTACTCATTTAATGTTTCATATGTGTACTTTTTATTTTTTTGGTTTTGATGAAATGAAGAAAATTAAAAATTGGCAAAAATCAGACTTTTGAAACATGAAGGTGCCACATGTTTGGAGGAGGAATGTGCTGGTGCCAGTTTTCAAAAACAAAAAGGATGAACAGAGTTGTAGAAACAAGAGAGGGATAAAGTTGAAGAATCGCACAATAAAGTGCTGAAGGAATTTTTGGAGCGAGGCTCAGACAATGGATTTCGATGAAGCTTTTATTCTAGCAATTTTTTCCTGTTTTACTGCCCTTTTCATGCTTTTGTAATTAAATTTTCTGTCTCTCTCAGACAGCATGTGGTTAAGTGTACAATTATTTTATTTTCCAGTTGATGAAGTCTGTGCATGACGAATGCCCCAACATCACCCGTATTTACAGCATCGGGAAAAGCTACAAGGATCTGAAGCTTTACGTCATGGAGATCTCAGACAACCCTGGAAAACATGAACTGGGTGAGGTTATGGATTGCAAACGTTTTCCAAACTATGGTCCAGATTCTCTAAAATCAGTCAAACCTGGTTGGAGATTTTGTTAAATTTATATTGCAGTAATTTTTTCTCAACAACCTTTGATAATGGTCTTAAAAAGTCTTAAATTTGAGTTGGTGAAAACTGGAGAATGTTTTTTTTTTAAGTTTTCTTAAAAGCAGATTTTCTGACCACATTAAATTAATTATGTAAACATTTACTATATACTGATGTTATATCTCATCCACAGTCAAGTCAAGCACAGTGGTAAACCTAAAGCTGATCTACCTGGAGTTCCTCTCTGTTTGCTCTGAGATGTACAAATGTTTTCTTTGGCCATTAAAAAAAAAAACGTCAGAGAAGCAATCAATGTTGAGCTGAGGGAGGCTAATTAAATACTCAGACAGAAAATAAAGGGGAAAAAAAGCCACAGTGGATTTGAGCTTCTTAAGCAAAAAGCAAAGAGCTTGGTTCCTCATTTTGCATGTGTGTTTTGACGCTTGTTGCAGGAGAACCAGAGTTTCGGTACGTTGCAGGGATGCATGGAAATGAGGTGCTGGGTCGAGAGCTTCTGCTCAACTTGATGCAGTACATGTGCCAAGAGTATAAACGAGGAAACCAACGGATTGTCCATCTGGTCAAAGAGACTCGCATACACCTTTTGCCCTCCATGAACCCCGACGGATACGAAATGGCCTTTAAGAAGGTGCCAGAAAACCTGATTTAATGTTTCCATTCTGAGCTTAAAAAGAGCTTCAAACAGAACAGAATCCTTTTCCTCTGGTCCTCAGGGCTCCGAGCTGGCCGGCTGGGCTCTGGGACGTTACAGCTATGAAGGCATCGACATGAACCACAACTTTGCTGATCTCAACTCAGTGATGTGGAGCGCCATCGAGCTGGAGACAGACCAGTCCAAACTCATCAACCACTATTTTCCCATTCCTGAACAATACACTTCTGAAGAGGCTTTTGTAAGAAATGCAGACATCTTGTTTTTGTTTCAAAAAGTTCATCCAGTTTGCCTGAACAAACTCGCCAAAACTTGTACATCAGCTTCAATTTTAAGTGAAAATTAACTGAGTAAGATTAAGTCCATGCACTTGGCTTAAATTGAAAACTTTAGAACTTTCTTCAGAACTTATTGATGAGGTGTTGAGGTAATACATTTCTATCAATCTGATGTTTCAGCAATGACCCGTCAAACTCCTTTTATACCATTTGTCAAAAGTTTTTCTTGACATTCTTATAGATTCTAGACATAAAAAAACAAAAGTACAATAGTACATTTCTGACATAAAAAAAAAACAAGAAAGTCTATATTAATCTGAGAAAAGTTTCTAGAAAAAATTAAATTCTCAAGTTTATATTTCTGAAATTAATCTAACAATTTCTGAGTTTTTTTTCTAGCAAATTTTCATCTTTTCAAACTCAGAAATGTCGAAGTTTTAGAACATTCGTGATTCTGGTTGTAATTTACTGATTTTTTTATTTTTTTTTATCAACAAATGTCCCCAGTACGCCATTAAAGAAAGGTATTTGAACTCAGGAATGTGTTGTTGCAATGCAAGCAGTGCTGGCTTGCACAGTTTGCTAGCATGAATGATTTTTTTTTCTTTAATAGGTTGCACCTGAAACTAGAGCTGTGATCAGCTGGATGCAGAACATCCCGTTTGCTCTGGGTGCAAACCTCCATGGAGGAGAGCTGGTCGTCACCTACCCATACGACATGACCCGGGACTGGGCGCCGCGCGAACACACGCCCACCCCTGATGAGAGCTTCTTCCGCTGGCTGGCTGCAGCGTATGCCAGCACCAATCAGGTCTCTCTCACTTTTCCCTGCTTGAACTTCCTCCTCTGGGAAGTGACTGAGGAAAGTTTGTTGGCTGATCTACCAGGTGATGTCCAACCCAGACCGAAGGCCATGCCACAACAAGGACTTCCTCAGATACAACAACATTATCAATGGGGCCGACTGGCACAATGTACCTGGAAGTAAGAACCCATGTTTTGTTGGATTTTAGTTGAATATACAATTTAATATAATGCAACAAAAAGTTTGTCAATAATTCTAAATCCTTCTCAATATATCTCTTTATAGCTGAAGCTGAAATGACTTATTCTGACTCTTGGAGATGATGTTTTCTGTTTTTGCAGGTATGAATGATTTCAGCTACCTGCACACCAACTGTTTCGAGGTGACCGTGGAGTTGTCCTGCGACAAGTTTCCTCACGCCAGTGAACTTCCCATCGAGTGGGAGAACAACAGAGAGTCTCTGCTGGTTTACATGGAGCAGGTCAGAAGGCATCAGTCATTTTTTGTTGCTTTACAACTTGCACTTGTTACTGAACCAAGTTGGTTTTAGTTAGTTGTAAGTTGTTGGTAGTGTCTCTACGTCTTACCTAATCAATTGCTAAGATGATTAAAAAAATAATAAAGAGCAGTTATTCGAAGAAAAAGATCCCAAAGGTAAAAACGTTTTTCCAAACTATGGTCCAGATTTTCTAAAATCAGTCAAACCTTAAGAGTCTTTTGGTACTGAAATCTGCTTTGATAGACTAAGCCTTAAAGTGTCAGGAAAACAGAAGGTATTTCTTTTTAAAGGGAATAAAAAACATGTCTGAAGTTATACATCCAGCTGATGAGTCATAATTTCCTCATGAGTCTGCTCAGTAAAACCAGGTCATGCTGATGTGACACAGACTCACTGCACTTTTTAAAATCATAACTATCGGTTTTGTCTTATCTGTATCTGGTCAAATAGTAACTCATAACAAGAAGTTAATGAGTTGGATTTAATAGTTATGATGTAAACATTAAAAAAGGCACTAATAGAACTATTTTTAAGAATAATGATAAGAATCCACTTTCCTTCACAATAATCTAAATTTTCCTCTTTCAAGCCTGAAGGCAGCAAGTTTTGACTTGACCTAGAATGCTCTGACCTGGTTTGCTCTCCACATCTGCTTGGCTTCTTTGTATCTTGATTTTACATTATAAAACATAATTTGTGGAACAGAGTTAGTCTTTAGGATTTTATCCTGCAGAAAACTGTAAATTTCTCTATTTGAAAGTTCAGATCCATCGTGGAATTAAGGGTGTGGTACGAGACAAAGACACCGGGGTGGGAATAGCAGACGCCATCATCAAAGTCGAGGACATCGATCATCACATCAGATCAGGTGCAATTTATTTTTTATACACAGCGCCCTCTAGAGTTAGAACAGTTGGTACTCCTGCTGTCAATAATGACATTTAATGTGACTGGAGCTTTACAAAGACAGGAACCTTTGACCTTTCATCTTGACATGATCTCTTTACTTCAGACCCAGATTACTGGGTTCTATCTTTTGTCCAACAAAATCACAATTTCTTTTTTTTGTGTGTGTGTGTATTGCAACTTTTTTATTGTTTTCAGAGTAATAATTACTGTACTTGACCAAAAGCAGAATGTGGGCATGTTTGTTCATCTTCTACCCTCATTAACTAGATAAATTTTAAGTAGTAGTTCCACTGACATTATTTACTTTATAACAAGACATTTTCCCATGTTATGAAATAATCTGTTAGTGCAACAAGCACCTTTTCATCAATATTACAGAATTATTGACTTAAAACAAGCTCCTGTTTCAGTTTTATCAACTGGAACAGCACCAAGTAACATTTTCTATTCTGCTGAAATGTTACTTATCAGTTAGTTTTGTCTTATTTCAGGTGTTTTAAGATATTTCCACTAGAAACTAGATACAAATACTTTGTAAAATGTTGTGCTTTTCTAGAAGTGATTGAGGCTTAAATTATATATTTTTTCTTGCAGATGTGTTTTGTTATACTTTGCTTTTATCATGCTGCGCTTTATGCCTGGTCTTCCCTGCTGCAGTGGTTGATGGCGACTACTGGCGTCTGCTGAATCCAGGCGAGTACCGCCTGACGGTCAGCGCTGAAGGCTATCTCCCTTCATCCCGTACATGTTACGTCATGTATGACCACTTCCCCACAATCTGCGACTTCAGCCTCACCAAGACACCCAGTCGGAGAGCAAAGGACATTCTGGCAAAGGGGGGGAAACTTCCCAAAGACCTGCAGCTGAGGCTGCGGCAGCTACGAATGAGGAAACTCCGCATCACCACCAAGGCCATCAACCAGCGGCGCGCTGCAGCTGCTGGCAAACGAGCAAAACGTGTCTGAGAGGAAAGCAGGGCTTGGTTCAGAGACACCAAAACTCACTGGATTTAGCATTAGATTCTATTTTTAAAAATATTTTTATCAGAGGAGAGCAGGTGGAACAATCTACTTTTTTGTAAATGACCTGCTGTGGAGCAGCACCATATTTATAGCTCTAGGAATTTTTTTTATTTCCATAAAAAAAGTAAACCGATTGAGTATCAGAAGTTGTTAAATGAATCTTTATTATACAACTGAAATTGTACTTTACAGTTTTTCATAAAACAAAATTAAACAATATCATGTTTTTTGTTTATTTAAGAACAGTGAGCTTCCACTTGACACTGTTCCTCAGCTTTGGTGCTGTTGGGATCTCAGGATCTGAAAAAAAAAAAAAAATAATTATATATATATATATATATATATATATATATATATTATATATATATATATATATATATATATATATATATATATATATATATATATATATATATATATATAAGTCATTTATATTTCAACAACATCTACAGATCTCAAGACTTGGCTGAGAGAATATTCAGGCAGTTTTTCACAAGATTGAAGACATTCAAGTTAAAAATATTCCCTTGGTTTGCATGTCACAGATTATTTAGAGATAAAAAGCCAATTAGTTTTTTTTTTAGAATTTGTCAAACTTAGATCAGTTAAAATAAAAAAAAAAATACTTAAATAAATCTGTATAGGATTAACTTGATGAAACACAAACCTTACAAATCATAGTTTGTGATCAGTTATACCATGATTTTTAATTATTCAAAAGGAAGGAATTTCAATACTTTGTTTGGCATCTCATCTAAGCCAAACCAAGAACTTTGGGTCTAGCTTTTAAGTTTACGTTTTTTTTACATCAAATTCTGTTGTGACAAACCAGAAATAAAAGGTTATAATTAAAATGCAATATAATTTATATTCCAGACTGTGCTAACCTCATACAAACACAAAATAAAATATTAAATAGGGTTTGTGCATTACTTTGAGGGGAACAGGAGTTGGAGATAAAACATAAAAACCGCAAATCTTAACACCGCAAACTGTACCGACCGAGTTGAGATGCTGCAGGTTTTTGTTGCTGCTGCTGGAAAGACGCCATGATGCTGTTTGCTGTGGAGTTTGGACCAGTTACCTTTAGAGTTAAAAAAATGTCAAAAAGCACAATTTATGTTTAGAAAATGTATGCAAACATTTCTGCCTTCTTATTTGTCATTAGTATTGAATATAGTTCACTCTATCAACATCACATTTTACCAGTATCAGCTGCTTTGATGTTCTACCTTTCTCAAAAATAAATAAGTACAGACATAGGATAGAAATATCCCTTATTGTCCAACAGTGTGGAAACTCAGGTGTCACATCAGCAAGTCAATACCTGATTAACAGATTTTGTAGATATGGATGCAAATGGAAAAAATGGGAAAAACAGATGAGATGAAGAATTTAATACAACCGTCTTTGTTGCTTTTGTCGGCAAATTATTTAGAATCTTGACTCCAGTCATTTAGCTAAAACCTTTAATAAATTTAAAAATTTTGGTGCCCAACAAAAATATAAAAAGAACATATTATGATTTTGAAGAGGGTGTTATATTTACCGGAGCGTTGCTGCTCAGCAGGCCTTCAGGCCACACCTCAGGAATAGCACCCTCCATCATTTGCAGGGCTTCTTCGTAGGCCAGCTGCAGTTTCCCGGCCTGTTTATCAAACTGGAACAGCACCAAGGCCTTAAGGAGGCTGTGGATCTCCTCTGTGGAGGATGGAGGGACAGATTTGCTTTTCACCAGAACTTATTACTGCTTTATTAACTGCAGTATGTCCAATGCAGGTTTCTTGATGTTTCTGCAGGTTAATTTTGAGCCTTATCCTATAAAAATATAATTTAGAGATATTATCAACTTACCTACCCTTTTACCTTACTTAATATTAACTCAAGCCAGTTGGATTGAACTTTGTCACCTGTAGTTGTTTTTCCAACTCTGGATTGTAACCAAAATCATCCAATTTTTTCCCAAGCCACTAATATGAATCATTTGTTTCTTCCTCATTTATAAAATGCATCAAAATGGAAGATTTACACTTAGTGTTTGTATGGAAAAACATCAAACCACAAAACCCAAAACAGAACAGCGATTTGTTTGGTACACTTTAGTTTGAATTTCATTTAAATTGGGATTTATGTTTTAATGCATTCAATCTCCAAATATTTTGTTAGATTTGGAACCTGTTAATGACAAACCCACAGGACAATTTTTTAAACTAGAAATCCAATGACATTTCATTGGAACAAAAAATTATGTTTAATCTTGACCCAAAAAGCCTGATCAGTTCAAATACTTTCAGCCAGCATGAAGGATTTTGGTTTTGTATTGGAAAACAAAAATCTGCACCTAAGCAGGCTGCATTTGAAGGAGGGCCATACGTAAAATAAAAAGTCTTGTTTGTACCTCTCATCTTGTCTACAGTGGTGATGATTTCACTCAGGGCATGCATTAGGGCTCTGTCCTCCATTGGGCTTCCTTCCTTCAGACTCAGCTTCTTCCTCTCCGCTTTCCGGCGGTTCTTTGACGACCTTCTGCAAGAGAAATCCAAACACTGAAACCAAAAACAACAAAAAATATTATATTGACTTCATGGGTTTTTTTCAGGTGTGTGCCCTTTACGAGGAGATCCGGGAGTTACTCTGGGAGTATTTAGACGCGGTCAACACACTGCTAGCTTCAGAGTAAAGCTCAGCATCAGGGCAGTCTGGACCTTCTTCATCTAACAAGAAACATAAATGGTTTAAAACACAACTAGAACCAGATGTTTAAAAACATTTTGAAGGAGTGAAATGGATTTATCAGTTCTTCTCACCAAGCATATCCAGCCTGGCCTTTTCTTTCTGCTCTTGAACCACAGCCAAACGACTCCGGTGCCGGTTAAATGTTACAACCTGAGCCTCCAAGAACCCTGTTTGAGAGTTCACAGCTGTGGAGAACAAAAATAAAACCTTTTCTCCAGCTATCCTCTGGATGGTACATAAACCTTTTTAAACAACATGAGACAATCACTGTTTCGTCTTACCTTCTAACAGAGCAGGTTCAAGGTTGGTTTCAGTGATATCCTGTCTGTTGTGCACATAAATCTTCAGAAATAAAAAATATATATTTTAATGCCACACAACCCAAAAAGAAAGAAGAAAAATCACATTAACAAAGAAGATGAGTTTGTTTACAGACCAGTCTGAGCGCCTCCTCCCAGACTGCACCAGTGATTAGAGCCAAGATGGCTTCCTCACAATCCTGTTTGAAACAAAAAATAAAAATGTTTATAATGAGACCATAAACAGCACCTGTTGCAGGTTGAGGAGTCATTTCACTTTGTTAGAAGAGTCCTTCACTGTTTCCCGTTCACTTTTCTCCACTTATCTACTTTGGCTTACTTTGTGCTGCTATTTCAACCTTTCAACTCATACCATATTTTGCTCATTGAGGACATTATGGTTATGTCTTTTTGTATTGACATCTAATACGGTTGAGGAAATATTCAGCTTTTTGGCCCCATTGAAATGAATACGGCATCCTATAATTTCTGAAAAATTCAGCTAAAAACTTTTTCACAGCTAACTACTTCCATGTATTTTCAGCAAGAAGCAAATTTCAAAGTTTAGAATGTTGTCATATCCTTCAACTACTTTTGTTTATTTGAGCTTTTCATGTCTTTTGCATATTTCATAAAATCCTTCTTCAAGATTTTTCTGGCATTATCCTTAGTCTTAAGAAAAAACAAAACAAAAAAACACTGACCCACTAACTCTGAAGGTTCCCAATCTAACCCTAATCCAACCCTTAGTATAATACTGTAGATCAAGATGCTACTTACTCCTAGCCTAGAGGCTGTCATTAGTATTACAGCTTTTTAGCAGAGTTTAGATTATGCTTTATTCAGCTGCTTCTGTCTACGTCTTAAATGTCTGCAATAGTGTATTCTATAGTGGACCTCAAATACTTCTGTAATTTTCACTAAAAATATTTTAGTGAAGATACATCCACACTGCATCTTCACAGGAAATGCAAATTTTTCTAGCTTCTTACTTTGGCGTACTGGTCCAAAAGCAGAGCAGCTTCTGCCCACCGCCTCTGCTCGGTCAACTTCTCTGTGACAGGCAAAGAAAAAAAAACGTAATCAGTTTTTAATTTTTTATCTTGCTTCAGTTCATCTTAGAACCAATTACTGTGGTTCAAAGATTACCAGAACTAGTCTGAATGCAAGTTTGGAATTATTGTCCAAGCTTGAACCATCTATTTTTTAGTTTTAAGAAAAATTTGAATGTAGAACTCCATCTTCACTCTTCCACTCAGATTCTATGATGCAGGAGCACCGCTGTCAGTAATACAGACCCCCAGCATGATACTCCCACTGCCATGCTTCAGAGATGTTGAAGTGCATAGATACCCACACCTTGTCATTCTGTACAGTGATACTGACATTTCCCCATATGTTTCTGGTCACTTTAGCCATTTTTTCCCTCTTAAAGTCAGAGTTTGGATCAGATGCATTTCTCTCCATCAGTCAGACTACATGTTGTCATGGTTACCTGCCAAGTCTCTGGCCAGCAGAGCTAACTGGTCTGGTGGTAGAGGTATCTGTTGTGCCACACAGATGGCGTTTCTCCAACTGGAACAGCTGGCAAAAGCCTGCAGAGCCCTGGCGGGCTCGCCGCATCGCCACAGCAACAAGCCGGCCTGCTCAGCCTGTTGCTGCTCCATCAGGTGCTCAGCATATGCAGAGCTCACAAGCTGAGGGCAAAAAGACTCAAATCACTCAGGATTCACTTGCTCTAGTTAGATATCAAAACTGTTGAGAAATAGTGATGGGATTTAATTCGCAACAGCTCACCTTGTACTGAGGACTATCTGCCGTGTACAACCGCATAGCTTCACTGAAGAGTTTCTGCTCCTTCACCAGCTGCAGAACTTCAATGAAATGTTCCTCTCCTGAGCAAAACAAACAATATTCAGGCCATAAATAACCATCCTAAACTCCAAACATGTTTCCGCATTAAATCAGACTGTCCAG